ATATGGTGCTAACTTCACCTACGTCTAAGTTTGAGGCTTATTTATTATTTGGCCAGTTGGTAGGAGAACAAAACGTTTCATTTTTCGGTCATGCTTTCCACTAAAATAATTTTTTGTTTGCACATACAGATTTTTATATGGTGAAGCCTGATTATATCATGTTTTCGAAGAAAAGTCCGACTAAAACATGATGCAACCAGGCATTAAAAAACGAATTCTAAACCTTGATTGAAAAACGCGGGAGATACGATGCGTAACTTTGTCGAAACACGGGCTCGGATTCTCCGAGATATGAGCGTATCTCGAATTAGTCGTGCCATAAAGAAAATCAACTAATTAGTATGATTATCTTTTATGCTAGGCGCTGTTTCTACGATTTATGCGCACTTAATTTTAATTAGTGCAGAAAGCGGCTTCTTTGATCTGTTTTACGCTTATTCTACGCGCTGGGACATGCTGAATTTAATTATAATATGTTCAGCTAAAGAAATAGTGTAGTTTCGCTAAATTTTGTTATATACAATACACTACGTCTTGCATAGTGTAACCATTGATTCTTTTGGCGCCAATGAGAGCGTTGCTATAGGCCATAAGAATGAATTATGCTCTAAATACTCGAAAAATTTCAAACAAAAAGGTATCCGCCAAACTTTCGGGAATGCTTTTTCATATTATTTGTAGTTTAAAAGCATATAAAACATCTAATAAAACTGCGTTTCAAGTGCGACTTTTTTTCATACGCGAGGTGGAGAAAATTGTCCATTTATAAGCGTAGTGCATTTTCGAGCAGTTAGATAACTCTAAAACCATTTTAAAGTTCCGGACGCACGCCTTTTTGTCTTAACTTGTATGGAAGTCCTTTATGCCAAACTTTATCGAACACCTTCGCAAAATCAAGAAATACAGCTGTTGTAAATTTATTAGAATCGAAATTTTCTCTTATTTCATGCACTAAATCGACCAACTGATTTGTCGTAGAATCACCCTGAATAAAATCTGATTGTAAGAGTGTTAGGCGGTCATGCTTTTTCAGATGTCCATATAGCTTATTATAAACTAATCTTTCCAGAATTTTAGACATAGAGGGAAGAAGTGTAATAGGTCTATAAAAGTCTGGCCCAATGCATTCAATAACTGGTCTTTATTAGTAAAACAAAACGTTTTTCATATAAAATACTAGTTATTCATACTTGATCGATACTGGAATAAGCACATTAAAATTTATACCGTATTTCAATCATTCACAGGTTTCTAAATAGATTTTAAAACGTCCATTTGACACGAGACGCTAATATACATTTATATTTGAATTTATTGAGCTAGCCTTCCTCCTTACTTTATTATTATTAACAAAATTATGTATTTATTTCTCTGACAGTTTCGACTTTGGTGAAGTCTTATCAACTACAAAAATTGATCTGACTGAATCCAAACAAACGTAAAATGTGTAGATCATAAATGTTTTCTCTTTTTACTGATCAAACAATATGGTAGCGCTAGACGAATTTTTATCTCTGATCGAGACTTCGTCGAAGTCGAAGTCGAAGATGTCACACAAATAAATAAATAATTTAATATAAACTCTTTTTATTTTCCGCAGATCGAGATGGCTCATTACAAGGATGGGCAAGTATGCTGACTTTCAACTCCAATCCACTCCAACTTCGTTTCAAATTTTCGAGCATTTAGAGC